TACTGCCTGCACCTCTCTGGGGTTCTGGCACTCTCCTGCTTTAGGTTTCCTGCCTGCAGCTGTTTCAGAGAAATAAGTGTGCTGTGAGAGCTGCTATTCAGAGTTGGGGCTCACAGTGGGGAACACTTGTACTCTACCTTATATCCCATCGTGTACCCCTTATTCTAATTGTTCATCTCTACTCCTTGAGCCTTTTACCTTTGAAGCCCTCCCTCAGCCTCTCTGTGTAACTGCCAAGCTGCCCCGCTGAACCCTACAAACTTACAACCCTACGCTTGCAACCGGGGATGCTCCTTATCCATAGGCCCCAAGAGATGTCCCTTAGCCCGGACCAGGCAATCCACAGTTGCTCCCTACCCTACCTAAGTTTGGCCCTGAGACAGGGCAGAGGCTGACAGAGCCGAACTCTTTGCGGAGGCCAGGCACGAAGCCTTACCAACCGCCGCCTCGAGGAGGGGTGGGAGCAATCCCCGGCTGCGGAGGGACAGAGAGCCCAGGGTGGGGCGGGGCGGGAAACCCCCTGTTTCCCCAACCCTGCGGATCGTCCCCCCACTATCTCTTCCTGGCTGGCCCTAGCACCAGGGAACTGCCTGCACCTCTCGTGGGTTCTGGCACTCTGCTGCTTTAGGGTTCCTGCCTGCAGCTGTCTCAGGGAAATGGTGGTACTGTTAGGGCTGCTGTTTTGTGTTTGGGGTGGGGTACACCTGAACGCCACCTTACCTATACCCCTTCTTTTCACTGTTTGCTCAGCCTTTTTTTTTTTCTTGGAATTCTTGTGACAGATTGAGGGCACCAGGGAGGGACTACCAAGATGAAATAAAAAAGGGAAAAGGAGAAAGATCACCCCTGCAAATCCACACTGGCTCACCTGTTCAGGTGCTGCTTCCTAACACAAAGGTTTGTCCCTCAGCACCTCCTTTAAGCATCGCTCCACATCCGACTGCGTCCAGGTGTTCCCCAGGCCCTGCAAGATCCCCTCACCATCGTTCCGTGAGACACCCCAGGGACCCGGCCATAAACCCCTCTCCTCCGGTTGCTCCATGCCCAAATGAGATGAGGGAAACCCTCTCCCTAAAACAGTGCCCGGCAGGCCCCACCCCGTCCTTATCATCACAGCTCACACCTGGCACAGCTCTGAGCCCTCATCATCATCACAGCTCACACCTGGGGCTGCTCTGAGCCCTCATCATTCTCACAGCTCACACCTGGTGCTGCTCTGAGCCCTTATCATCCTCACATCTCACAGTTTGTGCTGCTGTCACTCCAAGACCGAGGGCAGGGGCAGAAGGAATGCATTGTTCATTCCCTAGATAGATTTATATTGCTTGTATTTATTTCTTATTTATGCCTATATTTATATATATATATCTATTCCCTATATTTATATCTTTATTATAGATTTGCATATTTTAATTTCTTTATTATTTATTTAAAAGCCCTGCCTCTAAGGCAGAGGGAGAGGTGCAGGGAAGCAGAAAAAATTACATCAGCGAGAGAAGAGTGGGATGGTAGGGCTGGAATGTAGAAGAGGGGTAACATGGACTAGTGGGTCCAGGACTCATCGCAGCTCCCACTCAGAGATGCCGGGAGAATTTGACAGTTCAGAAGTATCTTTGTCTCCCTCTCCATCCCTATCCCTTAATCTATACTTCCAGTGGCTCGGCTGTCAGCCACCTAGAACATTTCAGTTAATGTCTTGCAACTTTTACAGTATGTATGAGGCTTCATAAATACACAGCTTCACGTGTGCACACACTACATGGTTACACATACACGCCCTGCCGCGCTCGGCGGTGATCTGCTTAGGACTACGCTTAGAGTAATTCTTCCTCACCCGGAGAGGCAGTGGAGATCCCAGCACTCCTCCCCGGCAAGAATGACGTGGTTTTTCCCCTGAAATTTAAGGGGTCACGTCTCAGATTTTGTCCCTGTCCCCCCATGGTTAATTGGGCACTCCTCGGAACGCAGCGCTGCCAGAGCTCATCTCCACTGCGGTGACCGACGGCCGCGCGGACGACAAAGCCCACACACACACTCAGAAGACTGCGAGCCTCATTCGCGGCCCGGCAGGCGGCTGCAACGGCCGGATCCGATGGGGCAGGAACCGGCGCTCTACTCCGCCCGAGCCGAACGCCGAGAGACCAGCGGCG